CCAAGCTGTTTGGGGAGGCACAGTCTTCCCTACCCAGCCCTCCATACCGTTTCGCACCTCCGATGTGGCCCTTGGGCCAAAAAGTTTGCCCACCCCGATCTAGCTGGTGAGTGAGACCCCAATTCCCTGACTGTTTATGCAGTCAACCCCTCAGTAGTCTCAGTTAATGTCCCATTTCTCCATGGTGTAGCCCATAGGGCTAGCTTGCCTTTATTATATTCCAGGGGTCGGCAACCTCTGGCACGTGGCTCGCCAGGGTAAGCACCCTGGCGGATCGGGCTGGTTTTTTTACCTGCCGCGTCGGCAGGTTCAGCCGATCGCGGCTCCCATTGGCCGCGGTTCACCACTCCAGGCCAATGGGGGCTGCGGGAAGCTGCGTCCAGCACATCCCTCGGCCCGCGCCACTTCCCGCAGCCCCCCATTGGCCTGGAGCCGCAAACCGTGGCCAGTGGGAGCCACAATTGGCCGAACCTACAGACGCGGCAGGTAAACAAACTGGCCTGGCCCGCCAGGGTGCTTACCCTGGCGAGCCGTGTGCCAGAGGTTGCCGATCCCTGTTATATTCACTGCTTTGCCTTCATTATAGGAACTCTTCTATATTTACAATGGCAATGACAGTCCAGAGGAGATGGGCCTGAGATTCTGTCTAGGAGAAAGTGTCTCAGTGCGTGTGTGTTAACTTGTTATCTGATTGGATTCAGAGCCTCCGTGCCCGTGTTCACCATGAAGGGCTCCTCCATCCCACCTGGCAGCATCCCGAAGCCATCCTCGTTGGTCTCTAAAGCAATGGGACAGAAGAGAAGGCGTTCTGTGAGGTGAGAGCTCGCTGGAGGCAGCCAGCCCAAGACCAGATCACCAGCTGGTGGATTGTGTGCGTCCATATCCTCCCTCTCTGGTTCCCCAGCAGCTGTCCAGAGAAGCCCATGGAGGAGCAAGTGTCTGAGGGACCACTGGAGCATGCGGTTCTTGTGCGTCCCTTCTGAGCCTGACTGCTCTCCCTCTCCTGTAACAGGCCTTCTCTCCCCAGGGCTGAGGCAGGGGAAATGGCGGCAGGATTGATGTTGAGGGGGATGAAGGTAAATGCTGCCCCGGAGCCTAGAGGTGACTGGGGCTGTTCAGGAGCCCTGCCCTGGGGGCTAGGATTGAAATGGGCTCCGACTCTCTAGTGGGTGTCGCTAACTGCCCTGCCTTCTGTTCCAGCACTGCCTCCCGCTCGCTGGGTGGACGGCAGAGCCAGAGCCGAATTGCCAGGCTCCGGAGCAGCACTGTGAAGTCCTTGCAGACCCCAAGTATCCCAGGTAACCCCGTCTCTTCTCAGGGCTTGGCTAGACAGGCTGGGGAAGGAGGGCCCCCAGGCTGGGGATATACTATGGGAGCCACCCCTGGGCTCAGGCAGGTGCTAGGCCTGGCCTTGGCTAGTACCAGTGCCAGATGACGCTCCCCTGCTACATCTGAGCAGTGGGTGGGGTACAGGGAAGAGCTGCTGGAGATGCCAGTGTTGCAGTGACGAGGTAATTCTGCAAATCCCTGTGTTTCCCCATTGTGTCCACCCTGGGTGCCTGTACCCATCCCCCACTGCCACAGCCATCTGTTCCCAAAAGCATGCACAGCCCGAGGGTGCAAAGCGTGCCTGGCCTCACTGCATCCCGCCCTGTCTGTCAAAGAGCAGCACTCCTGGGCCCTGGAGGGCTGGACTGTGGCAAGGAGGGGAACAGAAACACGGATCAGAAGATCCTTTCCTCCTCCTGTCCGAGCGGTGGCTCTGGCACTGCCCCTTGAGCTTTCATGCCTGCGTAGCACAAGAGGAGGAGGGCAGCATGTCTATAAAGGAAGGATGTGGGACCTACTGGCTGGTGCCAAGGGGTGGGAACTCTGCTCCATTGTGGAAGTGTGGGCTTGCTGCAGGTCTGGGAAGCTCTGAGGGGCTGCAGGGGCCAGCGATCCTGTCCAGTGATGCTCAGGCCTCTGCTTTTATTTTCCTTGTTTGTGTGTTTTCACCTCCAGAGCGTCCTTCCTGCACTCTGGCCAAGAGGAGCAGAGCAGATCTAGAAGTAGTTGGTGGAAAAATGCTGGCTGCACCCAGATCCCAAGCCATGAAGCTTTTCTGCTGAAATGTCCTTGGACCCCAGGGTCATCAACGCAGGGGCCACTTGGCTGTTTTAGTTTAGCTCTGCCTGCCAGACCAGGCCTGCGACAAGGCCAGCATGCCTGGAGCATGGACATCTTCCCCCTCTCCTCATGTACAGACTGGGCTCGCACCTCCCTTCTGTGGCAGTGTTCCCTGAGCTGCCACTCCCTGGGCGTTTGGGCAGCACTCCCATCAGTGCCAGCTGTTCAGTACAGTCTCCTCAGGCCTTTCCTGATCCTGCTGCCTCCCTTGGCAGTGTAGCAACGAGAGGAGGACGCGTGTCTCCTCGCCCTTTCCCCCTCTGCAGGGTGGCAGTATCCTGCTCCTCATCTCAGCATTGGAAGGAAGAGACCGGAATGGGGTGTTCTGCCAGCAGATCCCCTCTGCAGATCCTAGTAGTGTCCAAAAGCTCCTCGTGGGTGTCTGGCACTGGAGCCGTGCAGCACCCCGGCATCCCCAGCTCCTGAGCGGAGCAGCAGTGGCAGAGCACTGCAGGGCTGTGGGCAGACTGCTGCACCTCCACCCACCCCAGAGCAAAGCGTCCTTGACCCCTCCTGCTCCGGCACTGCCCAGAAACTCTTCTCCTCTGGGGCCAGAGTCTGATCTCCGTTACACCAGTGACTTCGCTGGAGTTGCTCGGCATTCACAGTGCGCCTGGCTTGGTTTTCCCAATGGAAACTGGCTGGGGCTGGGTTCTGAGCTGGGCTTCGGGGGGTCTCCTGAGCAGCACACATGGGCTGTGTAACGCTCCTCCAGGCAGAGAGAGCCCTGTATTTTATACCAGATGGATTATCGCTGTTCTGTCTTTAGCTCCTGTGTAAACTCCTCTTCGGTGTCTGGTGCTAACAGATGGCTGCAGCACGTCCCTTTTTAATCAAACTCTGAGGTGTGATACTTCTCACTTCCCTCCCAGCCAGAGCCTGGCGTGGAGCTGCTTGGGGATGGGCCCTGCTCCGGCTCCCTCAATGGCCAGTGATTTGGATGTCCAATGAGCATGTCCCCCATGGCCCAGGCTCTCTGAAAATCTCAGCCAAGGCCTCTCCCCGCCCCCGTCTTCTGTTCAGTGCTGCACCAGCTGGGAGTTTTCCAGTGCCCCTGAGGGCAAACAGGGTGAAACCCCAGGTAACGGCTTGAGCTAGAGAGAAAATAGTGGGTGTGAGCGGCCACGCCTCCTGCTAACCCTAAGCAGGGCCTGGGTGTGAACTGCAGTGGGAAATGTCCCAACCTCTCCGTTCTGCTGGAGCCTCCTCTGGTGCCCCCTCCAGCGACCGTTCGTTTCAGGCCAGTTCCAGCCATTGGTTTGCATCATTCCATAACTAGTGCTTGGCACTGCCTCTGCCCAGGGGAGGGGAAAGAGTCTCACTAGCGACCCCCTGACGTCACCTCTTCTCTGCCCCCCAGAACCCAGCTCACATCACCTTCCTCAGTGCAGTCAAACTGCCTCCCAGACAGCTCTGCATGGACCTTTGTGGGGCCCCAATTTTCTTTTCCTTCTAATACTTACGTGCTGGCAGAGGGGCTTTGAGGCTGTGTCTTCATTGCAATAAAACACCCGGGGCAGGCCTGCGTCAGGGGCTGTACAATTGCACTGTAGACCTTTGGGCTCAGGCCGGAGTCTGGACACTGGGACCCCACAAAGGGGGTGAGGGACCGACTTGAAGAAGAGCTCGGTGGAACTCAAAAGCTTGTTTCTCTCGCTAACAGAAAGTTGGTCCAATAAAAAATATTCCCTCCCCCACCTTGTCTCTATAGTATCCTGGGACCAGCTCAGCTACACTAACCCTGCAGCCGTTTGGGGGCGAGGACTTTCTTGCACAAAGCCATGGGCCCAGACAACCCAGCTGAAGATTCACAAGCCTGTTACAATCCACAGAGTGGGGTGCAGCAGTAAGCCAAGGATTTTCAATATGCTGATCTGTTTAGTATGCTAACACCAGGCTCAATTCCCAGCGAGCTGTCCCCTTTCCTTCTGATGCAGCCCTTCCTGACAGCCAGCCCCGGGTTTGCTTAGCGATCTGCTGCTTCCTGGGGGGGTTACAAACTTCCACTGGCCTCATTATTTCAGCCCCTTTCTGGTGTAACGCTGGAGAGAGCTGGATTGCAAAGGCAGATGCTCGTGTGCACCCGCCTTTGCATTGTTGGAGGCTGGAAGATTATAATTAAAACTTTCAGCTCCCTTAAAGTTAGGTCCTCTCATTAAGAGGCGGATGGGGGCTGGGGGAGAACCCAGCTTTGCCTCTCTGGAGCTGAGTGACTGACGTTTCTCACAAGAGACGTTAACACTTTGATCCCATCTGCGTAGGAGCTGGGAAAAAATAAATATCTGGGGAGATTAGCCGAGACTTTCTGTTCACCCCAAAGACCTTCCCCCCACCCTCCCTGCAACATCTCTCACTCAATCCATCCTTCCTGCGCTGCAGAAAAGCCGTTGCCTCAGCTAACAAGCTCACAGAGCTGAGCCGACAGACGCGCCGCCTGGCAAGGTGAGGCAGACAAGCAATTAAAAAGTGTCGCAGTGGGTCAGAGTTGCCTGCTGTTGTTTTAAAAGGCCTGGGTGTGATTCTAGAGATCAAATGGGGGTGCAGGTGCAGCTGGATGCTGTAGCCAAATCCCCCCACCTGCGCCCTGCTCCAGGTGAGATCTGCACTGCCTGCATGCACAACGTCAGCTGCTGCCGGATGTCTCCGCTGTTCAGAACTAGGCAGCGTGGTCAAATGTCCAGAGCAGGGAACTGGGTTCTGCTCCTGACTTGCTGCCCAGCTGACACCATTCCTGCTCATTTCTGGTTTGCTTTATGTTCCCGAATGAGGGCCGGGGTCCCCTGCTGCAAACACGTAACAGGAGAGACAGCCCCTGCCCTAAAGAGCTCACAGTCTGTGCAGACAAGACGGAGGGGGGACGGGGATGAAACGTAAGCAGAGGGTGAAGGGTAGCAACCAGCATGTGGTGTCTGTCCGTGGGTCAAGGAGCCTGCCCATCTCCCCAGGCCCTGGGAGGTTTAATTAGCTGCACATGGGTGAGCTAGTGTCACCAGGGGGGTGGGTGTTGTGAGGCTGAGCAGTGTAACACCTAGGAATGCTGGGAACCACAAAGCCAAGTCAGGTGCCCAGGTTTCTGCTGCAATGAATGGGGAAAGTTGGGCCCTTGGGAATGGGAATCACCTATGCCAGCCAACGGGGGGTGCTAAGCCCCGCCTCTCTCTCAGTGAGAGGTGCCCCTAAATCCAGGCTATGACCTGTGACCAGGACCCCCCTGAGGCACGGCCTTAGGCAGAGGAGGAGTTAAGCAGGCGTCTCAGGGACTGAGGTGCTGGTGCCCACCCAGCTGGGATGGGGGAAAGCCCAGGTTCAATCCCCCCTTTCTGCCATGTGGCGGGGATGGACAGATTTGAACTGGGCTCTCCCATCTCAGTGCCCTAACCCCAGGGCTCCAGGTACAGTCTCACACTGGTCGCTGGTTAGGGCGCTCTCCCGAGAGGTGGAAACACCTGGTCTACATCCCAGGGGAGTGCTCCAGCCCCAGGCTAACGGTCGCCACTATCTCCTCTCTGGCCAGCCCCACACTGGTAGGCAGCGTCTGAGCACCCACTGGCTCAGGCCTGCATGTGCCTAGCCTCTCCCCGCTGGAGCCGGGTGGCAGATGGTGTCTAGCTGGTGAAAGGAGGCAGCCATACGTGTGTCCAGAGGCAGAAACGTAGGCGCTTGGTGAGCTTTTACCCTGGGAGTTTCAATATCTGAAGGGTCAGGCCGGAGTGTTGTGGGGCATAAACCAGGACTTCAGCCCCTACGTCTCTGTGAATTATCCCCATGGAGCTGCTGGGACGGGAAGGGCTGAGGAGAGACTGTAACAAACCTGCAGCCACCTAGAGCGTCACATCCCCATGCTGCACAGCGGGGCACTCGGAGCTCCCTGGGGGGCAGGAAGGCTGGAGCTCAAATCCTCCTGCTCCAGGGATCCAGCCCCTTGCTGCTTGAGCCGAAGGAGAAACTCCCCTGGGAGTTCGTGCCCTGCGGCCTGGACACTGGTGCAGTTCTGATGCCACCCAGTGGAGGGCGGTGCTTGCACAGGCCTGCCCTGGTACACGGTCATTTATATAAACCACAAGGAGTCCGGTGGCACCTTAAAGGCTAACAGATTTATTTGGGGATAAGCTTTCGTGGGTAAAAAGCCCACTTCTTCAGAAGCATGGAGTGAAAATGACAGAGGCAGGCATTATATAGTGACACATGAAGAGACAAGTGGAGAACCAGTGTGGACGGGGCCAATTCAATCAGGGTGGATGTGGTCCACTCCCAAGAATAGATGAGGAGGTGTCAATTCCAGGAGAGGAAAAGCTGCTTCTGTAATGAGCCAGCCACTCCGTCTTTAAGGTGCCACCGGACTCCTTGTTGTTTTTGTGGAGACAGACTAACACGGCTCCCCCCGGTACTTGACAGTAATGTATAGACTGTCGGTATTTTTCAAGGAAAGCAGCGAGCTGCTGCTGGGCCCAGATTTGCGCCAGCAGGGGACACACTTGGAGATTTGGGGCTTGGCGAGCAGGTGGCATCTGCTGCAGGGGGTTGATCTGCTCGGCTCTGGTTTCTCCTCACAGCAGTGTGGCCTAGTCACGGAGTCCTAGCATTTCAGGCCAGAAGGGACCCCAGATCGTCGGGGCTGACTGCCTGTACAGCTCCACTGGGATGGGCTGGATTTTCCGTCGGGAAACGTGCATTTCACCATACCCACAAAAGTACTTCCCTGGCCAGCAATCGCAATGCACGAGCAGGCAAGAGTATGAAAAATGCTGCCTGCGAATTGACGCGTGCTAGCTTTCCGGAGACTGGATGTTGTGAAGTGTGATGTCACCCCACCGTAATTCTGTTCAGCTGGGATAACTTACATGGATAAAAATGGGGGGAAATGCTTCCAAGTAAACCGTGCTGTTCTCCAGCAACATTACAAACAAATACAAAGCAAAGTCTGCCAAGCCTGTGTACAGCACAGGCCCCCACCAGCCCCCGCACACGGACCCCAACAACCGAAATGAGCCCAAAGCATCACAGCCCTCAGGACACTGGACTACGGTGTGCCAGAGGCCGAGGGGCGCCAGGGCCCAAGGCCCCTGCAAGGGCAGGGAAAAGATTGTGTGAGATACACCAGGCTAATCCTAGCCAGTGACACCCCCACCCCCTGCAGGCTGAGGTGAACGCAAACCCCCCCAAGGCCTCTGCTCATCTGACCTGGGAGGATAGTCCTGCCCCAGCCCACATGTAGCAACCAGTTAGACCCTGCGCTTGTGGGCTAGACCCACCAGCCAAGCCCCTGAGAGAGAGAAAATGCCCAGTGCCACCCCAGAGCCCTGGCGCTCCCCAGACAGTGTCCCAGCCCAGCCACGGCCATCCTGAGGCTCCAGAGGAGGGAGCTAAACAAAATAAAAAAACAGACTCTATTGCGGGGAGTGAGGGGGTGTCCCTTCCCTTCCTTATCCCTGCTGGTGACTGGCTGAAACCATGAGCTTTTTAGGACCATAAGACATAACCTGGACGGGAGGGAGCCAGCTCTCTGAACAGTGCTGTGTTCTTCCAGACGCACGTGTCATGCACCTTCTCTGATGATCCCACACTGATATCGGTGAAGCGTCCCCGGTGAGCAACCAACACTGGCATAACTATGCCTAAGTCACCTTTCCTGTTGCTGTGCTCTGTAGCAAGGTGGGCTGGGGACAAACTAGGGCTGTGCGTGCCATTTATCGCCCCATCGCAATTCGGGAACCCCACTGCTGCAAATCCATCAACCATGTCCTGCACATTGTCCAGAGTCACAGTCCTGCATAGCAGGAAACGGTTAATGCCCCCCCCCACCCACACACACACGGTGGATTTTCCAAATCCAAAATGATTTCCCACCTACCAGTAGCACACTAAGGCCTTGGCTACACTTGCAGATGTCCAGCGCTGAGAGTTAAACCTGACTTCGTGCAGCTGAGTAGGGAAAGCGCTGCAGTCTGTCCACACTGACAGCTGCCCAGCGCACTGTCGTGGCCACATTTGCGGCAATTGCAGCGCTATTGGGAGCGGTGCATTATAGGCAGCTATCCCACAGAGCACCTCTTCCCATTCTGGCGCCGTGGGTTGTGGGAAGGGGCCTGGGTGCAGGGGATTCTGGGTCCTGTCCCAACGCCCAGTGATGCATCGCTTCGTATCCCAGAAATCCCTTTGTTTCCGTTCACCTTTGGCGCCATCTTTCAACGGTTTCTGTGCAGCGCGATCTGTCTGCGGGAAATAGAGTCCGAACTGCTGAGGCGTATGCTGACGAGTCTCGCCAGCACGTCACGTTTGGCTGTCAAACTATTCCTTAAGGTCCAAAGTGACAGTGAGAGTGAGGAGTCCGACGATGCTATCGAGCCACGTAATGCGTACGACACAAAATTGCTTGTGGCATTCATGGACATGCTCAGCACCGTGGAACGCCGCTTTTGGGCTCGGGAAACAAGCACTGAGTGGTGGGATCACATCGCCATGGAAGTCTGGGATGACGAGCAGTGGCTGCAGAACTTTCGCATGAGAAAAGCCACTTTCATGGGACTGTGTGAGGAGCTTGCCCCCACCCTGCGGCGCAAGGACACGAGATTGAGAGCTGCCCTGCCAGTGGAGAAGTGGGTGGCTATTGCAGTCTGGAAGCTGGCAACTCCAGACAGCTACTGGTTTGGAGTGGGAAAGTCGACCGTTGGAATCGTGTTGATGCAAGTTTGCAAGG